AGATAACAATGAGGGTTTCAAGGAGACATTCCTTGGTGTGTATTTATGCTGATGATAGTATGAAATATTGAAAGGGAAAAAGAGTAGAGACTACAACAGTTCAGAAAAATGTGTTAAAAAAACGTTCATTTGAAATTGGGATTACTGTTAGAAAAGGATATCTATTTATAATACATAATATATTCATAATTTGTATTATATTTATATGATAGCATTTAGAATCTTAATTGAAGTTTTGATAAAACTTTTTTGGTTTGACATATTGCACTGTAGACCTAAAATATCACTTAGTTTATTGGTTATATTATACAACATGCGATTTGGCGTTAATGCTGAACATTTTTCTAATATATGCTTAGATTGATTAATATTGATAAAAGCTCATGAACACTCCAAAACTTTTTTAGCCAGAAGTTTTGTACTCCGTCTAGTCCGAAGATTTCCAGTTATGAAGCTTTTAATAATATTGAAAACTTCTTTAGTGGTGAAGGTTTCGTAAGGAATATTACTATAATGTTGACAGTTGTACGTTGTGTCTTCAATATATCCAGCATTGGTGTTATAAGTAGCTGCCGTTAAAAGTTGATTCCCCCACAACTCATGAGTTTCTTCTTGGCTTGGATACGAAATATTTTCATTTTCTACAGTGGAATGAAGTGTCTTATAAAATTTCTTTTTCGCATGCTCAAAAAGTATATTGTCGAATTTCTGGTTGTTACTAACTTTGTATCTTCTTAATAAACTGAATAAACGAATAAACGAATTGTCCAGGAATTGTTGAGCTGTGTTGTTTTCTGGATCATGTTGTGAGTGTTTTAGAGTGTTCAGCAATATTTCTTCCATTTCTGCAGCTCTCTTGGTTATCTTTCTACTTCGTACGCCTGAGATGTATTCCGTTATTTGTTCAATATCCCCACCCAATAATTCAGTCTTCCTAAGCAGTCGCTTTCCCCAGCCGTCCACTCATCAGCCCTTAACATTAGCAATTACTGTTACTGCACAGTAAATCAGCATATGCAAATATTCCAATGTATGGGGTATTAATATTATTATTAGTATACGTACAGGAAACCCACTCTTTCTGACACTTACGATGACTTTAATTGTACTCAATATTTTATAAGAATCGAATAATCAATAGATGTTACTTATTATACTTATTCTGATAATCTAAATAGATAAATCTACAATAAACCAAGACAAGATTATTAGACAGTAATTGATAACTGCCTTTCACCTTTCCTTGAACACATTAACTCTATGAAACTTACGAAACTTTATTTTTATTCCTTGCATTTTTATATAAACATTTATTGTAGATATGATCTCAATAATACAATAGATATATAAGTCGATTCTGTCGAAATACGCTAAAAGTGATAACAAGGTGATTAAATAAGATAAAATTAGTAATTCAGATTTTACCTTAGACATTATTGTAGCAATTTGGAATATTTAATGTTATTGGTCTGGTAACCGATCTAATCAGAAAATAATATATTTCAGTAGGGCATAGTTAAGCAATATTCTTCCCCAATTTGTTAGAAAAATTTAGGAAATATTAAGGATTATATACAGAACATATTATGGAGGAGATTCTTACCCACGGGTAGCGCGTAGGAACTCCTTTGGATAGTCCTATCAGGGGAAATTAATCAATCCCTGCCCTTCGCAGATTCCAGGTGTTTCCTGACCCGGGCAACTAGTACCTGCTTATCTGCTTGTCCAGGGTCACGGAACGGCAGCCACGGTGGAGAAAAACACCTTTGATACGGTGAGGATGGCGGAAATGGTAATCCCTTGATTTTAGGGGTTGTATAAAATCACTAAATTGTATAAAAACTGTATAAAAAAAAATAATAAAAAAAAAATTCAACATATCGACCTGCATATTGAAGACGAACGTATTGAAAGAGTACAACGATTTAAATATCTGGGATATACAGTAAATGACAAGTGGGACCCAGAAGTAGAGATTAAGATCCGAATTGAAATAGCAAGATCCAAATTCATCAAAATGAGAAAGCTCTTAAGCAACCGCAACCTAAGCATTAACCTCCGATGGCGCGCCACGAAATGCTACGTACTCTCTACGCTACTTTACGGCGTAGAAGGGTGGACGTTAACAGCAGCAACTATAAAGAAGTTAGCGGCTCTAGAAATGTGGCTGTATCGACGCATACTGAGAATACCTTGGACAGACAGAGTGACCAACACAGAGGTATTAAGACGAATGGGTAAAGAGGTGGAATTGTTAACAACTGTTAAAAGGAGGAAAGCGTCATACCTGGGCCATGTGTTCCGTAATGATAAGTACAGTCTGCTACAGCTTATCGTGGAAGGCAAGATTGAAGGTAGAAGAGGTTTGGGCAGAAAGAAGAAATCCTGGCTGAGAAACTTGAGAGAATGGTTTCAAATACCAGAAGCTGCGAACATAATTCATGCGGCACAAAACAGAGAAACCTATCGTATGATGGTCGCCAACCTTCGGTAGAAGACGGCACATAAAGAAGATAAAATCACTCACCGACCCGTCTAGCCAGCGTGGTGTTTTAAGGCTAAAAACCTTCTTTAACAGGAATAGAGCAATACCTAAAACAATAGGAACGGGTCCCAGGTTGGTAGACCATACAGTAATGGCAAATTCCACTCCTTTGGAAAAAGCTTCATGGAATCTTTCCATGGGAAGAATACAACTTTAAATATAAGGTCCTTAAGCAAAGATGAAAAAATCTACGAACTCAAAGAAGAAATCAAGGACTTAAAATGGGATATAATTGGTCTAGCAGAGGTAAACAGGAAAGGATAAGAGTGCATAACATTATTGAGCGGTAACGTCCTATATTATAAAGGGCGAGAAGTACAAAGCCTAGATGGCGTAGGATTTCTAATTTCCAAAAAATATGCACATAAAGTACAGCAATTCGTAGGAATATCTGAAAGAATTGCAATGATTATTCTAAATGTAAACGAGAACATTTCCCTGAAAATTATTCAAGTATACGCTCCAACCGCAGCACATCTCGATGAAGAGATAGACGAATTTTATGAGAAAATTACAGAAACTAGCACGAATGATCACAGCACGTATACGATGATAATAGCAGACTTCACCGCTAAGATCTGACAGCGACTTGAAAAAACCGAAACCAATATAGGATAATTAGGCTCTGAAGTTAGAAATAAGAGAGGAGAAACCTTGGTTAACTTCCTACAAGCCCACAAATACTATGCAACTAACACATTATCTAAGAAAAAACAAATATATTATTTAAACACTAAAGATAGAAAGAATGACACTAAATATTAATGTCCAATTTACATAGCCATTCAATTGCTTCTGGGGAACATTCTGCAAAGTCCTGGAGGTTTCCACGGTAGGCACAATTCAAGCAGTCTGAAACACAATGGCTTATGGTCTGTCTAGATTGTCTTCAATCGCACTGTGGACTTTCTGCACGACCCCACCTGAACAGCGAATCAGCACATTTACCATGTCCGGTACGTATACGATTAAGCCTTGCCCAAGTGGACCGGGGCAGATTTGATCCGATGAAACCCTGAGTTGGGGTGGATATCTTAATATAGTCCGATTCTACTGTTGGCATCCATCTTGTTGTCCATTGCCTATGTATATCATAGGAATTACCAATTTTTCGGGCAGATCGTATTGGAGGTATCGAGGTACCAAATTAGAGATAAAACATAATAAAAATAGAAATAAATTTAGAAAAACTTATAATATAGACACAGATAAAATAAAATCTAATACAGAACAATATAACAGCAAATTAAAACCCGGGAAAGCGTTAAATGTAGATTAACTTAGCTTAAATGAAATCAATGAAGTCATAACAAAAGAACTATTATAATAAATTCAAGCTCAGAAGTCGCAACTGCTAACAGAAAACGAAAAGCCAAAATAAGTGTAGAATCACAAAACATGCTAAAACAAAGAAAAGATCTTCTGAGACAAAACAAAAGAGACACTGCAGAATTTAAGGAACTTAATCGAGTAATAAGAAAATGGATAAAAGAGGACATTAAAAAACATCAAGAAGACCGTATAGAACAAGTCATAGAGAAAAATCGAAGTCTTAAATGCACCAAACCGAAACTAGGAAAGAAGTTTCTTACAAACAAAGATATGGCTGGCGATAATTAGGAGAGGCCTATATTCAGCAATCCGAATAGTGAGAAGGGCTTAAAAAAATATTTATTATGGAGAAAGGATAGCTAGCTATCTTCCAATCATCGTTAGGGAACATACCTATAGGGTTAACTCCCTTTCGAGTACAGTTTCACGATGTTTTTTTTCAGTTACATTCATTAGCATCTTTTTAGCCGTATTTAACCGATGAGAGCCGTATGGTTTAAATCTGGATATTTATAATAGTCTTCGACAACTCACGTAACATGTTATATGGTTTCTTTATTGCAGCAGTAACCTTGACAGCGGTTTCGATGTTGTGTTGGGATGCAAAAATTAGCCTTGACTCACTGAAAGTGTCAGTAATTGCTCAAATTTGACATATAAAAGGCTTAAAAGGTAATGGACAGGAATGGTTATTTGTGTAATGTGTTACCGTTTTCAGGCAGGACGTTAAAGCGAAGTTAAGTTGGTTAAGCGTTGCGATCCTGCTCTGTTGATGATGACTTGATTCGCTGATGTGGTGTTTAGGCGGGAAATAGCGCGAAGCTTATCGACGGCTTGAGATGAGTTGTGATGAGAAACGAACGGTGATTAAATTTTATCTTAGCTTATCAATAAATTTTATTCTGCTAGAAAACCGCAAAACAGTAAATACAATGTCTGAAAGAACCTTAACATTCATATTTGAATACGACGATAATTTTTTAATCAGTTTGATACCATAACCAATTCACTAAATATTTCACCAGAGTAATACTTTCTTTCCACCTTATGGACAAGTTCTAACTAGATATAAATTATTTACAGCAATAATATTTTTTTAGTAATGGATGTTTTTCTTTTCCAGAAAGAATGTTAGAAGACCACGAATACGTCCTAGCAGCTTATAAAGACATGAAAATGTTTTCGTGTCATGCTCGATTTAAATTTAGATTTAGAAAAGAGTTTAGAAAATATGAGTTCTTCCATCATCCCCAAGTAAGTAATATTTTGAAAGATCTAATTAAATATAAGAAACATAAAAGAGTAATTATTGTGACTCATCTAAGATCCAACATTTTTACGTTAAAAATGAAAGTAATTATACCTGCTCGTTGTTTCTTCTTGGCAATTTTTCGTAGGGCATAATACCCTCTGCTGATGTCTTATAAAAAAGAGTGTCTGGGTTTGCCTTTTCATAATGCATTACCTGCATTCCTCGTATCCCTGGCACAATTTTCTGGAAGTACTGATTTTGTAACTGACGATCAATAAAGTCTGCATCCATTAACTTAGTCACATTAAATTTTCTACTTGCTGAGTCTTGCTAAATCTTGCAGATTTATCCAGTGAAAATGAAAGTTGCCACAAGGTTGGCTTAGTTAAAGTTATTAGAATACCCTGCAGACTAACTTGTTTTGAAGTTCTGCTTAGAATTATGGAGTTTTTTGTCAGTTATTGACACGTGGAAAGTTATATACACGTGGAAAGCTCCTGGAGACAGCAAAGATAGAATCATAAGAAATCAGATAGATTACATCTTGATAAGGAACAGGTACAAGAACTCTATTACAGTAGTGAAGACTTACCCTGGAGCAGATGTAAACTCGGACCACAACCCAGTAGTAGCAAATATGAATGTAAGATTGAGAAAACCATTAATGAAAAGATCTAGACCACAAATATGCATTGATAAGTTAAGAGAACCAAATACATACCAAGAAACTCAAAACAAAATAAATCAGAGTATCCAAGAAATAAAACAACAAAATAAGAACACTACAGATATTGACACAAAGCGGAAGAATATAAAGAACGCAATCGAGACTGTGGGACGGAAAACTTTAACATTTACAAAAGCTGCCAATCAAGAATGGATGACACAAGAAATTCTCGGAAAGATGGACGAAAGAAGAACACATAAAAACAAAAATAAAATTAAATATCAAGAAATTAATAAACAAATAAAACAGAAAATAATACAAGCTAAGGAAACATGGATGTCCATTAAATGTCAAGAAATCGAGGAATGTGAGGCAAGGTATGACACTTTCAACACCCATAAGAAGGTTAAAGAAATGATTTCAGGAAATCGTAACAAACCAATCGGGATATTAAAAAAATGCAGATGGTACCACTATAACTGAAACGCAAGACAAACTACGTAGATGGAAAGAATACATTGAACAACTATTTTATGATCAAAAAGTAGAACAATTATTAGAAGTTAACGGAGAAACCACGGGACCAGAAATAATGAAAGAGGAAGTTATGTATGCTATAAAACACACAAAAGGCAGAAAAGCTCCAGGACCCAATGAAATACCAATTGAACTATTGAAGATAATTAATGAAGATAATATTGATGTCTTGGTAGACCTTTTTAACTCGATACACAAGACGGGACACATACCCAAAGAGTGGGACATATATGGACATATATGGACATATATGCTTGCTTTATAGATTTTAAAAAAGCTTTTGATAGAGTTCAACATGAGAAGCTTTTAAGTATTCTTAAGACTAAAATCATTGATAGTAGAGATCTACAAATTATATCGAATCTGTATCAAAACCAGAAAGCAAGAGTAAGAGTCGAAGGAGAACTGACAGAGGAAGTAAGTATACTTAGAGGAGTTCGACAAGGGTGTATCCTTTCACCACTCTTATTCAACGTCTACAGTGAAGTGATTTTTCAAGACGCTTTATTGGATATCGTGGAAGGTATTTATGGCAACGGAAATAGCATTAATAATATTAGATATGCCGACGATACTGTCATATTTGCAAGTGACATAGAAGATCTACAGTACATAATACAACATGTATACAATGCATGTGAAAGTTACGGACTGCAAATGAATCTCAAGAAAACGAAATCAATGATATTCTCAAAAAAACCACAAAATGTAAATAACCTGATCATCAATAATACAACGATAGAAAGAGTAAAAACATATAAATATTTAGGAACGTGGCTAACCGAAGATGGAGATCAAGTAAAGGAGATCAGATCTAGAATAGAAATGGCAAGAAACACGTTCATAAAATTGAAGAAATTACTTTGCAACCGTAACCTTAATCTAGAGATTCGCACAAGAATGCTACGTTGTTACGTCTTCTCTACTTTACTATATGGCATGGAAGCGTGGACAATAAAGCAGTCTGAAATCAAAAAATTAAACTCCTTTGAGATGTGGTGCTACAGGAGAATGCATAAAATATCGTGGATTGAAAAAGTAACTAATATAGAGGTGTTACAAAGAATGAATAAAGAATGTGAAGTCATAAAAACTGTTAAAATTAGAAAGATTCAATATCTGGGACATTTAATGAGGGGTGAGAAGTACGTATTACTGAGGTTGATTATGCAAGGGAAGAGAAACCCTGGACGACGCAAAATGTCCTGGCTAAGAAATTTGAGAGAGTGGTTCGGCTGCAGCTCATTAGAATTATTCAGAAATGCGACCAACAAAGTTAAAATAGCGATGATGATTTCCAACCTCCGCTAGGAGAAGGAACCCGAAGAAGAAGAAGTCAGTTATTCATCTTTTTTTAGAAATACTGACATACACGACCGACTACTGGTCTCATATTCGTAGTAAAGAGGTGGGATCAAAATGTACTATATCTGTAGAATCCTGGATACAGCTAGCTCCGATTGTTAGCACCCGATGGTTATTATGAACAACGACACAGCGTAATAATAAAAAATATCAATCGAGTATAGAATAGCAGCTATAAATATAGTATGTTCTTCTTCTTCTTCATGTACCATGTCCATTCAGAACGTTGGTTACCATCATAGCTATCTTAATTTTATTTACTGCCACCCTAAATAGCATGCTTGTATAAAACACCATACCAATCTAGCAAGTTCTTCAATCATGAGGTTCTTCTTCGTCCTGGACTTCGTTTGCCTGCTATTTTTCCTTGCATGATATTTTGTAGCAACCTAAATTTGGGACCTCTCATTACATGTCCGAAATATTCCAGCTTTCTCTGCTTGATACTTTTTATGATCTCAGTAGTCTTGCTGAGACCTTTTTCTAGTATTGTGGAGTTTCGAATCTTCTCCACCAAGGAAACTTTTAAAATTCTTCTATAGCACCACATTTCTAAAGCCTCAAGGCGATTTAGGTCGATTTTATTCACAGTACAGTACTCGACACCATAAAGTAAGACCGAGAATACGTAGCAGCGAAGTAGGCGGATCCTCAATGCCCATTTTAGGTCTGTGTTACATAACACCCTGGATATTCTTATAAAAGCAGATCTAGCCTGCTCTATCCTAGATCTAATTTCGCCGTGACTTTCTGCGTTACAATTTAATTGCTGTCCAAGGTAAACGATTTTATCAACTTGTTCAAGTTTGGTATTATTTACATATGTAGACGGTTTTATATGCTGTTGTTTACTTATTATGAGTATTTTGGTTTTCCGTATGTTAAAATTCAGACCTGCCTCCCTATAACTCTCAACGACACTATCAAGTAGTGTTTCTACTAAAGCTGATGTTGTTTGATTCCTATATAAATTTGCAATTATTCGAACATCTCTGTTAGTTATAATATTAATATAATAGACATTCGTCCAAGCCAATGTCTTTTAGAGCATCGATCAATATAGAGTGCTTAACACGATCAAATGCCTTTTGGAAGTCAATAAAACACCAGTATATGTCTACAGATATATCACGGCATCTTTGAGCAAGTACTTTCATTCCAAACAGTGCCTCTCTCGTTCCAAACCCGTTACGGAAACCAAACTGAGTGTCATCCAGGTATTCCTCGCATTTATTGTAGATACGACCATGTATTACCTTCAGAAAAATTTTCAATAAGTGGTTTAACAAACTGATGGTTCTATAATCAACACAGGTTTTTGCTGTTTTCTTCTTAGGTAGAGCTATAAACAGTGAATTAGACCAACCATTAGGTAGTTGTCCGCTGGTATAAATGGTATTGAAAAACGAAGTTATAGCCTCTAAAACATTGCTATCATTTATAAGCTTATATATTTCAGTTGGAATTTCATCAGGACCAGTCGCTCTGCCATCTTTTGGAGATTGTATGGCTTTTATAACCTCAGAGCGTGTTATTAGCGGTGCAGTTTGTTTCTTATTGAAGTTACCAGCCGCTTCTTTCACTTTTTTATACATGTTAAACGTGTCGTATCTTTTTTTAAGTTCTTCAATGCCATGACACTGTATGGCTAGATATTGACTCTTTGCTTCTCGTATTTTACGTCGAATTTCTTTTTGTATGCTGTTGTAAAGTGTTTCGTTGTTTTTCCATCGCCGTTGTTCCATCAAATCCAATATGCCATCTGCCATCCAAGCCTGTTTTTTAGTTTTGACCTGCCTTTTAAATTTCTCACACAGATTTCTTTTACTGTTATTACGATTTTATTTAAGCCCTCATCGACGTTTTCACCATACGTTCACTTCCAAGAAACGATTTGTCAAAAAATAAGCACCCCTCAGCTACGTGACGATAATTTGGAGATCCTTGTATGTCGTAGTTCATTTTTCTCTGCCGTTAATTACAATAAATTGTATTTTAAAAATAAAGAGTAATTTACAGTGTAAACAAATGAAAAACTAACTAAACCAAAATCAGATCCCCAAACATACCGACCGATGTCACTCACTTGTAATATAAGTAAAATATTAGAAAACATAATAAACAATAGGCTTATGTGGTATTTAGAATCAAACAAATTAATTAAACTAAAACAATATGGTTTCCGAAAACATCGCTCATTTTTAGATAATCTAGTTGACTTAGAATCAGAAGTTCATGAAGCATTCGCAATAAAACAGCACTGTATTGGAATATTTTTCGATGCCACAATTTGTAAATATTCAATTGTTAAAACACCCAGCATCAGGGGTAACATATTAATCCGTAACCGGTGAGGTGCAATTCGAGTTCTATTGAGCGTGATGTGGAGTTCCACGGACTGTTTTCTAAAAAATAAAAAAAAGATTTAGGTAT